CCCACACACACACACACACACACACACACACACACACACACACACACACACACACACACACACACACACACACACACACACAACTTCTAAGACAGGACGTTTTCAGTTTGTCTGTGGCTTGCAACATGTCCACTCTGCTAGCTATTGTAATTTAGCTTTAAATATTTAGAGCGTACTAATGCAATATTCAAAACATAGAAAAACAAACTATTTTTTAAATATATTTTTCAATGTTAATTTGGATCAAATTAGAACCATTATCAATCCCCCTGATATCGTGAATCATACCGCAATTGCAATATCAGTCAAAAATAATCACAATAAGTATATTATTTTAAATCCTGCAGAGCTGCACTGTGGTATGCAACATGTCCACTCTGCTCTCACACACACACACACACACACACACACACACACACACACACACACACACACACACACACACACACACACACACACACACACACACACACACACACACACACACACACACACACGACTGACGCTTGGTAAGGTGATCCCTCAGGTGAGAGAAAGGAACTGATAAATGAAGGAGTCGTTAAGAGGAAATCCCGGGGATAACTGCAGGTGTAACTTAATGTGGCGGCACACACTTTCAGTTAGGCCGGTGATTAGCCCATCATTAGCCAAAAGAAACCACAAGATTGAAAGACACTTAACGAACACAGTGGCAGATAACGAATAACTAATCTTGTGATCGAGGTGTTGGACATACTGTTGCCACCCACTCGGAGTCAGACAGGAAGTCACACTTGTAGTTCGAATGCTGTATACTTTGAAAAGATGCAACATGAGAGAAAGTTTGACCAATAAACTGACCAATAAAATGGGTTTGCTGTATGTCAGGCAGTGAGAAAGTAAAAGTGTTTCTAGAGAAAATAAGAAGCTTCTTGCAATCATACAAACGTTTTGTTTTCTTCTTGTATCTGCACCTTCCAATGAACGCACTGTTTTTATTTCTCTCTGTGCTTCTGCAGCTTTAAACTAAATTGTCCTTTTTCTGCAATCTAAAACGAGGGCCAGTCCCCTCCATCATGTTTTTGAGGATCAACTATTATTCTTCCAGTTTGTGACTGGCTGATAACATATCTGTATTTTTCAATAAAAATCCTGCTCAGTGGAGCTCTAAATCAGCCTTGTTCCATATAAATGCAAATTATTCTCTGATAAGAATCAGTCTATAGCATTAGCTTCCACTGGGCAGAGCATTTGGATTGATGTTATCGCCCTGTGGTTGCTACGGCAGCAGTCGCCCTGATCCCTCCACATCCTCGGGGCAAAGGTTGTCGGGGTCAGACGGAGGTTCGGGTCAAGCAAGCAGGTTAAACACCTTGTCAGGGATTAGCGGGCTATGAGGGAGGTGGAGGAGGTCTTCATTGGCTGATTTCTCTCTCGGCAGCCCACTGAACCACCTCCTGGACACACATACACACGCTATCTCTCAGAGGCATGCACACACACATTGCATTTACTCTGCTTTTGTTGGGCAACATGGGCCGACACAAAGAGCGGACACAGTGAGCGCTCAGATAAGCCCGTCCCCGTCTGTAACACGGCAGAAGTCAGAGGAAGAAGGCATGTCTAATTGAGACTTTACTGGGAGCCACAAAGAGATGGAAACAGCAACAAACAAACAGCAAAACATTAAGACATTGATTACATCCCCATGTTGGCAGCTCAGACAATCAGTCGCTTTATGTTGTTTTTTTGACTTTTGTCAGAATAATTCATCTCCTGGAAGAAAAAAAGTCACTAGCTAACTTTTCGAGCTTTGATGTAATGTACACAATATGTTTAATTATATATTTAAACCACAAAATAGTATATTTATAATGTTAATCTCATGATGAAGAGGTTTGAATTTCACATTATGAACCTAAACAATCAATCAATTAATCAATGGATTTGATAAAGGTATAATTTATATATAATTGAATTGATATGGCAAAAATCTCATCATTTGCTGGTATTCTCTGTATTGTCTCATTGTAAATTAAAAACCTTTGTAGGTTTGGAGTTTTGGTAAAACGCTTTTTTTTAGATGTTTCTTCTATGAAAGTGTTGTATTTCTTTTGTCAAAACCATTGATATAATAATGGAAAACAATACTAAGACTCCACTTAGCTGGCAATTTGTGAGGTGCTTTGAGCTTAACCCTCCGGTATCATTCGATTGGACTACGCAAATTAGTCATTCGAGACAAAAACGTCCACAGTGATACCGGAGGGTTAACAGTAATGTCAGCAGGCTTTGTGCTCTCAATGACAACGGCAACAAACTGATGTTAAACAGGTATAGTGTTTACCATAAAAATCACCATAGCGTAGCATCTTCGCACGCTAACATTTGCTAATTAGGGCTAAAAGACACAACTAACAAAAATACCACTGAGGCTGATGTCATTTTGTTATAAACAGAAGTATTGGAAAATCTAAATCGTGTGTGTGTGTGTGTGTGTGTGTGTGTACCTGTGTTAGATGAAGGGCTACAGGATGAGTCTGAGGGCAGGTCCAGAGAATGACAGGAAATGGACCGAGGGGCGATGGCCTCCAGTTCATCGAATGCATGAGACTGACTGCAGCTGAGCTCCGAGTAGCGAGACGCTGCTGAGCCACAGTGACCTGCACACAGTGGGAGGAATGAGTCATGATGAAAAACACAAGGATGAGGGTTAGACGCAGCTTTAATGATACATGTGGACACAGCAGATTGTTTCATTAGGAAATAATAGGAAACAGCAAAAAGGTGCATGAATAATAAAATAACTGGGAGAAATTATCAGCACAAAGCAACAAGGGAAATTCAGGAAGTAATATTACATACTTTCTTATATAAGATAAATAGATGTACATGCTTCAAGGTTATCTTTTTCCTTTTTAATTAGTAAGATAGCAATAACACAAAAAAAAGATTCACTACACTTAATTCATAATCTCATTGCTTTATATTTTTCCATCCCATTGTTATGATTTCAGTAAATCTCAGGGATGTAGGATTTGTTAGAAGAAGAGAGCTAAAGCAAATCTCCTGGAGGAGGTTTCCTGGTGCAGCTATCAGATTTTAAATCTGGGTTGCATGTTGTTGTGGGTTTAGTTAAAGCTGTCCCTTCCAGGTTTTACACTCTGACAAGTGGACACACAAGCCCAGGACCTCCATGAGTGCAGCCCCCAGGCCAGGTAAGTAGCACAGCGCTTTAGTCAGAGCTCACCTTCACGAAACACAAACTCTTCACCTAAACTCAAATTACCACTCAAAGGAATGCTAAAACTGTCGGGCTAATCAGCAATTACTTATCTCCTTTAAACCATCAAAACAAAAAACGTTTTGCCTGGTTTAGAAATCAGAGGATTAGTGAGAGAAACTGTTTCGCTGGGTGGTGTGTTTTGTATTTCTCCTGAAAGAGGCTTTTCTGGGCTTTTCTCACATTAGAAATGCACAACAGCTTGGCTCGGACAAAAGGATAATTTATACAGAGGCTCTAAATGAAAAAAGGCAAACTCAGCTCCTCGGTGTCTGCCCACATGGACAAGTTTAAATGTACACATGGAACCACCCTCACGCAGTCAAGTATCTGAACAACGACACACACACCGCTGCACTATTGTGCACTTGAGCGGCTCGGTGCTCTACTCAGGGAGACAATGGCGGGACTTGACTTGACACTTCAAAGCATATTGCTGCTGTCAACTCAGCTGTCATTCTCAGCAGATGAGGAAGGCTGCACCAAGCCAGGGAGAGTTTTTTCGGGGAGGTTAAAGGTGGCGATGGGGGGGTCAGAGGGTTTGATATGACAGAGTTAAAGGCAGACAAGGCCTTCTCTGTGCCGCGGCCAAAAGGACCAGAGTGGAGAGGAAAGGCCAGGCCAGGACAGGGCCCCGTTTCATTGTCAAGGACAGTTACACTCTGGAGATGTTGCTCAAAACAGGTCAGACCAGGGTCACGCTGTACATGGTAGGGGGTCTTAAAAAACCATGCTGGGGGTCAAAAAGGGCTGAGTGAGACGATGAGACTCCCATCAGCCATATACAGTATGTATTATCCAATTTGATCGTGCAGAAATTTCCTCATCTACTGCTTTTTTTTAATAATTTTCCATGGGGTCTTTATTTCTAAGAAAATCAGTTCTTGAACACAAATATCCCTCTACAAAACTTTGATTAAGAAGAACTTGGGCCTTAAAGGTCACCTATTATGCAGAATCCACTTTTTCATGTCTGTTATACATAAACATGTGTCCCCTCTGTGTAAAGAGACTCTGAAAGTTTCAGGAAAAAAGATTCTCTCACTTTTTGTCCTGATCCATTTATATAACAACCTGTCTGAAAGTGAGCTGATCAGATTTTGGCCACTTTATGATGTCATAACGACTTTTTGGCTTGTGTTTCCATTAGCCAATCACCAACCAAGGTAACCCTCCCCCCACCTTATCACCTGAATCTCCTCCTAGAGCACCATTAGGCGCTTTCACACCGCAGTACTTTTCCCTCAAAGGTTCATCAGAGGATTTGCCTTTCAGTGAGGATAAAGCATTTCTTATCTGATCTTATTAAGCTGAGGTTAGAAGGCGATTGTGTTCATTGTTAAAATATCTAACCAGTGTTGACTGTTGATAAGAGAAGGNAGTAACAGACAGAGAATCAGCACTTTGGAAACAGGGCTGAAACAGAGGGGATTATGGGATGCTGCAATGATCTGTTTGGTGTTTCGAGCCAAACACTTCAGAGACATGTTTTGTATATATCTGAGACCTATAATATATTGATGAAAAACAGTATAATAGGAGACCTTCAAATATACAATGAGTAGGCTTTTCCCAAAAAACAATGTGTGGACTCCCTATAATCACTTATGGGCCACTAGAAGTGTTTGTCGTTTCCTGTATCCGCAAAGAGTTTGCCTTTGCCTTTTTTCTCGCTGTGTTCTGAAACCTCAGCCAACTTTAGTGAGTCATCATAACAATTAGAAATGATTGGCAAAACCATGAAAATAGACCCAAGTTGTAGTGAACCAGAATCCTTTCAGCTTGACACGCTGCTACATTGAGGCCACACTAAGCTGAGGTGCCTCCATCTGCAGGGAAATAAATGAACCAGTGACACTCGCACTGTGTGTGCTATGAAGAGAACAGCGTGCTTCGATACAGCACGGGCCCCCCCGCAGCACAGCACCACACAGAGAACAGTAGATGTCTCTGATAGAAAAGAGAAAATCCCTACACAATTTCCACATTGTTTGCTGTCTTTCATAAAGTTCCAGGAGGAGTCAGATGTCAGTGGCCCCGTCCTTTATCCCTATTGGGAACGGTAAATTAGTGTCCGCAGGAAAGCTGCAGAGGTATTCTATTGTGGCATCGCTCCGCAGTGTTCTGCCGTCAGCGAGCGTTGGTCAGTGTGGATTTATGACCATCGGCTACACGTCTCCCTCTCATAGCCCAGAGAATAGCGAGGGCACGGGGGAGCCGCGGCACACGAGGTAGGCACCCCGACTTCTATTGTTGGGGCCTCATGCCTTTGAACGGGGAATCAAACGGTACCAGCTTTTCATCAAAAGCCCTCCTTTCTATTGCTGATTTAGAAGAAAAAGAAAGGCTTTCTGCGTTATTTATTACGGGGTGGGAGGAGGTGGGAAAAACAGGCTGACAGCAATGCTTTCACTACGTATTGATGGGGGCAGGAGCATCATAACGCCTCACTATGGAAGCAGGCTTTGAATTCTCTGTGTCTGGCTCAGCCTCTTTGTCTGCGGGTGGATGCCCAGCCATGTTCAGTATAATCGGGCCCCTAAGAACATGGGCAGGAGGGTAGCGCCTGGCAGGGAGGAGGCTGTGAAAGAGCCATATGTGGCAGAGCTCATTTCTCACCTCTGACAGGGGAGATTGGAGGCAGGACAGGCCAGCGATTAGACTCCAGCAGAGATGGGGAGGGGGTCAGCTTTGGTCCTGACCCTGAGCGGGGGGTGGTCATCTGTGGACTCGGGCACGAAGACCAAGTAGCAGAGGGGAAAGTTAAGGGGACGAAGCCATGATCAGACTCCAAGGAAGGGTGGAGAGCAGGATCTATGGAAGCATCTCGGTGAAGATTCTCTGCTTTTGCAGTTTCACGCCTGCTCAGAGGTTTATCTGACTGAGGACTGTCACCTGACTTCGGGCGAGGTGTTAGGGGTGTCGTATGGCCGAATAAAGGTTTATAGAGCGGAGGGGTGGTTGTAGCATTTGTGGATGATTGGCAAAGGTTGGATCCTGCTGGAGGGGGTGAAGCCAAAGGTGTCTTTATCCCTGGACGAGGATGGAGCGGCGGAGAGCAAAAGATCCCGTCTGAATCAGAGTCTCTGATATCTGCCCGGAAACCACAAAGGAACATTATTTAACAAAGCATTTTCAACCTGAAGTCACTAATGCAAGAATCATTTGGAAAACTGCAGTCCTGATTATCAGTTCAGGGTCCAGTTTCACTTTACTTTCATCAGGCAAGCTGTGATTTGAAATCATTTCCTGTCCTGATCATTTAGAAACATGTCACCAATCAAAACATACTTCAAACGCTACCTGTGCATAAGCATGCTATAGAACCCTCTATGACGCAAAATAGTACAATAAATCATAAATATTATTTTGTGAAATGGACTCCTGATTAACTGAGTCATACCTGAAATTCATTTGAAATACAAAACTCAAAATAGAAGTGTTAAGATCCTGAAAAAGTATTTTTTGTCTTTTCTTTTAGCTTCTGGCGCCCAGTGGTGATTGGCAGCCTGTTACAGCAGCTCCTACTCACCACTGAGTAGCTTCCTTATATTTACTTTTATTCTATTTATTGTCTGTGTGTATTCTGTAAATTGTGTAATTTTTAAATAGTTTTTATCTTTAATATTTTTTTGATGCATGCTTTAGTTAACATTAAGCTGTGTGTGGCTCTTTTCTGCTGTAACAAATGTATATTTCCTCTCCGTGGGTTCTTTTAATGGCTACATAGGTTACAGCCAAAGCTAAAACGACTTCCACCAATAGGAGATTTACCAGACAGGAAGCTGCTCCTGCCACTGGCGAGGTTGGTGCTGCGGCTGAACATACTCGACGGTGGACGACTTAAATCTGAGAGAGACCCTTGTGAGGTTGTAGAAGCTGGAGGCGGGGAGAGTTCAGGTCCAGCAGGCCCAAGATGCAGCTTCCAGTCTGACTCCTCCACAGCAGGTTGTGGCGCTCTCTCCTCCTGCTGATGTTCATTTTGTTCTTCCTGAGAAAGATGAGGGTAGGAGGGAGACGCTGGCACAGAGTTGGGCCTGCTCTCTTGTCTCTCAAAGTCAGGGTGAAGGTTGGGTTTGAGGGGGGTTGTTGGATTGATGGTGGATGATGGTGGAGTAGGAGGCAGTGGAAGAGAGGGAACAACAACAGAAGAGGGCCTTCCTGTAATCTGCACATGATTTCCTCTTCTGTCTGGATTAAGATGGAAGTAGCCTTTAAGGAAGACAAAAACATGAAAGATATGTATTATTTATTTCAGAGTACCTCTCTTAAACTTGGTTGACTATCCCAGAATATGAAAGCAATTTCTGTTAAATTGGAGCATCTTTGTTCTGTTAATGTTATTTTTCGAATTTGTGGACCTGTTTTTCTTTGTATGTGTTTCTGTGTAAATCAGATTACTATTTTCCAACCTTCGCTTGCCAATAACTTCTATTCTTTCCTACAAGTGATTTTGGTGTTAGACCCAGAGCATTATCAAAGCATGCCTCTTCTCGCTGTTCAACAAAGACGGATGTTGTGGATCATTTTTCATGTCTGCTTGTGACACTCTCGTTCCTACTTTGCTCACTGCTGGAGTAAATGTTTGTTTCCTGCTGGGAGGGTCGGTCTGCTAACAATGGCAGCGAGATATCACCCCCCTGGAGCAGCTGGCTGTTTCTAAACTCCATATCCACAACAGCAATCAGTCCTGAGGGCATGGAAGTTTGTGTGCAGGATATCATGTCCTTATTATCCTAAAACACTTTGTTTGGGAACAAGTTTGTGAGGAGTGTCAGTGAAGTAAAAACTGAATGAAAGGGTATAACATTGAATGCATGAGAACATAGAACAATTGTTTTTGTTTGATAAGTGACCTAATCAATGACTTGATTAATAATCTTGAGTGCTAAAGAGATAACTAATTTCTAAAGCCCTTGCACAACCTTCTCTGTTCTTGAAATAATAATTATCTCCCCTTCTCCAACTCCTCTTTCTTCTTCTGAACCTCTCCTTTCATCCCTCTAAGATTCTCTTCCACAAACATCAACTCCAACCAGCGCCGCCCATTTCCCCGCCGCCTCCTCCATTCTTCCCCTTCTGCCTCGTCACACCCCTTCCTTTCTCTCCCTTCCTACTTTTTTATTGACCACTGAGAGGGTGTATGTGTGATGGGGGGTTGGAGGGTGTCAGACAATCTGCTCTTGTTTCCTGGGGGCTGCCGCCAAGAGGAGTCAGCACAGGGGGATAAAGAGAACACATTGGAGAGCACATTTCTGCACTGCCTCCTCTTACAATGCGCTGCCATTCCCATCTGTTACACACACAAGTGTATGTGAATGGGTGTGTGTGTGTGTGTGTGTGTGTGTGTGTGTGTGTGTGTGTGTGTGTGTGTGTGTGTGTGTGTGTGTGTGTGTGTGTGTGTGTGTGTGTGTGTGTGTGTGTAAATGACATGTGTCAGAGTGCAAAGCCAAGGCGTAGGGCCCAGCACGTTTCTTAAGGGAGCGGGTTTAAGGGCGATTGTGCGAGAGCCGACCACCATATGGCAGAATAATTAGTATTAGACCCTGGTGTTGAGAAATGCCCCCCCCCCTCTGCCATACACACACTCACACACACCCCAGCATGTTGAAAGCAGGGCCCTGCTGTGGGCTGAGGTGTGTGCCGGGAAGAAATGCCTTCACATCAGAGGCCGGACTCTGAAAGGAGCGGCAGGTCTCCCCAGCCCCGGGCCTTTCACTCCCAGCAGCAGAGCACCAGGAGGGCGGCGCTGTGGGCACTTCCTTGCCAGAGAGGAAATTTGCACTTAACCAAACACAACCACAGAGAAAAGATTAAGAGCTAACGACAAGCTTGGTGGCCTCTACCTCCACTGCTCCAAGAGAGGAAGAAAAGGCGAGAAAACTTGTTAATGAGCAGAGCTGGGGAGTCAAAGGAGGCAGAGCCCTCCTCCTGTTGTGGCTGTGATGGTGTGAAAGTAACAGGTGTTTGTTGATAAGCCTCACCATCCAGCGCTTGTGTCCGCGGGGCTGTAATGAGAATGTGTGTTTTCAGCCTCCTCCCCTGGGATGGAGGCGGTGGTCTGGACTTGGAACTCAGGAAACAAGGAGGTCTGAGGTCTGAGGGGCCAGCTTTCATGTGAGACAGAAACCGAGGACACATTAAGGGACGATCATTTGGACGATCGTGGGCCTGGAAGAGAAGATTTAGAGAAGAAAATATTCAAATAAGTAGGCAAGAAAAACATTAACAAACCATTAAACTAATAAATATTTAAAACATTTAAAGAATACCTTGAAAATACTACAACGTTAAAGTAAAAAAGGTAAATAAATAGCTCACAGTAAAATATCACTGTATTATCTGAAATATACATTACGGATAAATATCATGTTTTTAAAATCTTTAAAACATAAAGATTATCCTCATTGAAATTATATTTCCCTCTCATTGGACGTGAGAAAAAGAAAACACATTTGACTAATTGTCAAAACTTTTAATATTTTTCCAAATTGAAGGACCTTGACACTTTGATTGTACTAACTTTGTTTGGAACATATATAAAATAAAAATATTTGCAGTGTTTTTACAATACAAATTATTGTTGTTCTCATATTATATATTAAAACATTAATTCTGATCCAAAAAAAACTATGAATTCAAACTAAAAGTCCCTCTGAGACACATCTGTGTTCCATGCTACTACAAAATAAAAGCCCGATGGAGAAACTCTGCTGCTGTTGGTGGAGAATTCAAATGATGCATGGTGCCACCACTGCCCCCTTGTGTCGTGAAAACAGATCACACACACACCTTTATTTCCTCAACACACACAGTACCTCTAGCTTTCTCCTATCACACCACTGTCCTTCCTTTTTAAAGAAAAGAGGCAGAAAATTATCTCAAGGGTGATAAAACTCTTTAGAGTACACTTTCGGGACAGGGGAGATAAAAGCATACAGGACGGTCAATATTAGAAATGTGGAGGAAAGGACGGCTGCCGGCAGCACGCCAACCAGTGAAAATGAGTGGAGCGCACAGCATTCAGTCCCTCTGTGGCCTTTAGAGAGCAAACAGCTGTAATAAATGGCCCATAGACGCACGCTTTATTTGACTTGGATTTAGGCTTCATCCAAAACAAAGTTCAGCTCCTCACCCTTTTAACACACTATATAAACAAACAGAAAATGCACAGATACATCTGTCTGAATACAATGAGGGACCAGAGGGAGAGAGAAAAAGAGGGAGAGGAGAAGGGGAGAAATAAAGGGAGGAAGGTGGGGTCACTGTCTGTGACTCACACAGGGAGGATCAACTTTTAAATCCCTGCACCATCTCCACTGAGTCCCTTTCTCAGATCTGGAGGCTTTAAAGATTTGCATTCTTGTGATGTAAAGAAGGAGAAGTGAGGTAGAAACAGCCCGACATGAGCCTCTGATGGGGGCCCTTCTTCCTCCACCATCCTCTTCCTCCCCTACGGCCTCCTCATTACCTGTCACTCAGGCCATCAAAAGGCTGAGGAGAGCTTTGTGAGGATAGACTCGCCTGGTGTCATCAAACTAGCGACCGTCTGCAGAACAGGTCCGGGCACGAGTGCTTGACGTGTGTGTCTCATTACAACCTACGCAAAAAAACTCTTTTAATGCATCCACACACACAAACACTATGGCAGATACAGCAAAGGACAAAGCTGTGTGTCTCTTATCATATACGGTCACATTGATGAGTTTGTGTGCAAGATCAACCCATAATGATGATGGAAATGATGTTAACTATGGTGATTGCATTCCAGGGTTAGTGCACAATAACTGTATTTGTCTTTCGTACAAAAAATACAGATTTCAAATAAAATTAGCTTGACATTACTAATGTTTAAATATTGATTTGTCTGGTGCACTCACCTTTTGTTTTACACCAATATAAAGTTGTTTATCTAGTTAAACTTGTGTTTTGTTTACAACCTGGTGGTTTTTCTTGCTGTCTGACTTTGTAATAGCGATTTTGCTCCTGATAGATGGAAAAACTAAAAAGAAAAAGATCCCAGTAATAATAAACCAGAATAATACTTTAATATAGTGATATTACTTTCAATCATATCAGCCCTCTGTAGCGTTGCATTTCTGTGATTGATCAGATAAAATGTCCATATGTAGAGGAAGAACAAGTTAAAAAACTAAGATATAGTGTGTATAGTGATAGTGCCTATCTCAAGACAAGGACTACTTGCTGAAGATAAATCAAACTTTGAGCGTTGTAAATTGTTTGTTACCTCATTAATATTTTTACATCTCGAGTCAAAAGTACAATCAATTAAGACTACCATGTAAAGGAAAAAATGTGCAGCACTACTCCTTAAACTGAAGTTTGACATGGCACCAGGCATGAAGAGTAACATATAACAGGATTACAGAATGAGGATATAAAAAGAAGGGAACTGTAGTCTCCGTGAGCTTTGGGGTTATTTTGCTGTTCTGTCCTCCTTGTCGTTAGTTTCCCTGGTGTGTCTAATTGTCTGATTGTGTTCACCTGTCGCCCTTGTGTTTCTCCTCCCCTGCCCGGCTGTTTCTCGTCTCGTGATTACCCCTCCCTGTATTTAGTCTCTTCCTATGTTCAGTGTTGGTTCATTATTTGTCGTTCATGTCTCCCTTCATGTTGGTCACAGTCCCTTTTTGTTTGGATGCTACCTCGTGCCTTGTACCTATTCATGGATTCTTGTTTTTTCAGCTTTTTGTGAATAAAGCTCGCCTTTTGTTCCATTTTGAAACCTGCTTCCCTCCTCATTCTGCATTTGGGTCCTATTTCCCCCCCATTTAAAGAAAAAATATGTAATCAGATTACTTTTTAAAAAAAAGAAGAAAAGGGGATTATTAGCACTATTACAATGTAACAATACATTTGAGGTATTCCAAAAGTAAGGGAAAGTACTAATTTAGTGGGAATGCTGACACAGCATTCCAACTATCTGTTATGCTACGCACGACATTCTTTATTATTCCCGCCGAGTTATTTTGCACCACTTCTTCTCCCACATTGAACATCGCAGAAACTCTGTTCAAAGATCAAAACGTTCAGCTCGGTCGGGAATCAATGGATATGACTTTTGTCATTCATAACTTTCATAATTCCAGAGATACATCCCATAATTCATCAAATTTTTAATATTGAAGTCAATGGAGAACTCTTCAGACTTCAACAATCTTCATGCAACTTCAACTGCTCGATGCTCCTTCTTCAACTGCTAACTACTCCTTCATACTTTCACTCAGAAACCTCATTCCAACTTCAAAATGTTACACATCTTTCTGACATTATTCGTGTAACACAACTTTTAAATCTGATTCTTACTTTTAGAGATATTAAACATTGTTCAGACCTTGGTAAAGAGGCCTTCTTCAGATTTTAGAGTGCGTGATGTCACAGCTAGAGTGGAGGACAGATTTAATTGTGCCTTCATATTTTCTTTTAAACCTGCCATAATTTCCAAACCCTACATTCCTGAGACATAATTTTTCAAGACAAACGTAGGAAAACATCTCGTAGCTTGAAAGATAAAAAAGAATTAAGCAAAAAAATTAAACAAAATGCCTCATGAGGGCATGAAGTGACAAAAACGTTCAACATGTCTCCATTAAACCCCATTGTAAGTTCAGCCTCACCTTTCCCCACCACAGCAGCTGCACACCTTTAGTTAATCTGCCAAAAAGGCCACATTATTAACCCGAAAGTACACAAAAAGTACACTTCAGATGCTCAAGTTCCTTGACATGCTTCACGCTTTGAAATTTCACCGATATCTGTTACGGTTCTTCAACAAAACGTTCACATGTAAGAGCTTTATCTCTCATTCAGAACAATGAAAATGCTCTCCTCTCACTGATCACCATGGAAACCTTTGATCTCTGGACACGTCGTTAGCTCAAATATAAACACCTGTGTCATGGAACACGATGATGTCATAACTCCAATTGACATAATTAGAGCAGCAGACTAATAACATGTTCCACATATTTAAGACATTATTGGTGACGTATGCTTTTAGTTCTAAAGTTTTCAGTTCAAATATTCTGCTGCTTTTTCATGCATTTAGACTTTTATTTTCTTGTTCTTATTTCACATTCAAGTCCCCTCTATTCATGAACCCTTTAAAGTACTCAGCCACACCACTTATATACCACGTGCGACTGTTGCTATGTGAGTTCATCTTTCAAATACAAGTTGCTTGTTTGATTCAAGCTCTTGTAGCCAATATGTCAAGGTATTTATCCCTAAAATGTTATCAGCTAACTAATGACACACACTCAGAGGATCTTTATAAACGTTTTAAGTATTGCACATCTTAAAACATGACTCTTATAAATCAATTTTAAAACCAGCGATGCACTACAGTGTCAGCTTTTCTAAAATAGAAACTTCAATGTTCACATCTTTTCTAAATCAGGGGTGTCAAACTCAAAATACAAAGTTGGGGCCAAAATAAAAAATTGGTACTAGTGGAGGGCCCAGACTGGTTCAATGTTTTAATTTGCAAAACTTATTGAAATTGACTTATATGCACATATTAAACTGGAACTCAACAAAGCCTTATTAAATTCATTGCCTATAAAAACAACATTAAACATTAAATACATCAGTTGCGCAGCTACTAGTTCTTATAGCTCTATCTGCAGCTTTTCCGGCGGAGTCATTTCTTAATGATTTATTAGAGTTTTTCCACCAGGCCAACCAAAAGCTTAAAAAAACCAAAAACATGCCCTGCTTGTCGCAAGACAAAAAGTGGGCAGAAAAGGAAACATCCATTGAAACTCAGTGTGCCTGCTCACTGTGATGCAAGCTCAAAGCCAAATACTTGGCAACTCATTTTGGGTGCAAGTTCATCCAATGTTTGGGGCTCAAGGCTCTGAGCTGAGGAAACCCTCAAGGATTGAGTGAAGGTGTGCGTGCAATAATATCGGCGGGCCGAAATTAAATCCACCGAAAGGGCCTGATTTGGCCCCGGGCCTTGAGTTTGACAACATGTGTTCTAAATCTGGGGTTTTCAAAGTGTGAGGCGCCGCCTCCCCGGGGGGCGCCAGAGAGCTTCCAGGGGAGGCGTGGCCGCCAGAAAAAAAATAAAGAGAAAAAGTGAAATATAGCTAGTCAACGGCTACTGGCTAAATGTATACGCAAGGCAAAATATGGATAGATTTTTAGTG